AAATCAAATAATCATTTGTTCCTACTCTTAACACAGGGGCAAAAACATCGTCAGTTTGCGGTGATGGTGTATTAAAATACGACAATCATCTGGTTTCATAAGTAACATATCGAAATCGTATTCACAATTAGTATTTTGAGGCTTTCCTAATGGTTATAAACATATTTTTTTTTATAGAATAAGGGTGACAAACGAGCACACAGTCCACCTGATGGTAAGTGGTTGCTGTGGCCCATAGACATCTACATCTATCTTCGTTTGCGGATTAAAATGCAGATGCGTTGTCAGCCGTGAGGACTAAGATAGATTGCCTCTTTTCCAGTAAAAAAGGGTCTCCGGTTCTCTACACTCACCATACGAAACACAGCAGCTGCTATTTTACGCTGGTATTCTGTGAGAGCGTAGTCCTTCCCCGGTCGAGCCGACCCATTCGTGCTACAACTATACTATTAATATAGCTGCAGCATAGCTCTACCACGTAAAAATGTTGGTTGTATGTTGGTTACTGGCAGTCACCACCCGCATGTCTGACCATTTCAAAGAAATTTTCGAGACAATCTTGATTGAGACGTCTCGTAAATATAAATAAATTTAATTTCTTCTGATTTTAATTAATCATGAAGTTTTATTAAATATTTTATAGATACTTGAAATCCGTGAATGAAATTCATGCTATTTGTAATGTCTTTCTGCCTATCACTTTTTATTGATTTTAAGTTCCTGAAAAATGTTAGCATTTCTTTTAAAAGTATCTATATCATTTATATTTATTAGGAAATCGCAGTGTACTTGTGTGTAAGACGTGAAACAAATGATTAATTTATTTACAAAATCAGCGGTATATCTTGCGGCAAACTAGATGATATTTAAATCTACGTTAGTATTAGTAAACCATATTTACACTTTCTTAAATTTCATTTGATAAAAATTATTATATAAAAAACAAAATTTGACACTTATTATTTTTTAAACAACCCTGAGTTTAAGCACTGGCCGAGCCGTGTTAAAGCAGGTTTTCTCTGTACGTGACTAGCCGCCCGTGCTCACGCATACCCGCGCCTCAAGTTACCTATCACAGCGCGGTTCTATGAAGCTTTGCCGCTGTACGGTACGGTTTCTTTACTAATGTGATGTAAGGCAGTTTTTCGATATTACAGACAGACACTTCATATATAACTTAAATTTTATGTAAAAATTGAAGTAGAAGTGTTTCTTAGGTCAAAATTACTCGATTTGGGGAGGTTTTAAATTTAAGGGATGAACGTAAATTAAAAAAAAAATGGTGGGTAGTAGAAAATTAAGCGAATTTTAATTTTTTAAATTGCTTAATAAATCATATCTTTAATTTTAGGGATACAGATTTTTTTATATTGTTAAAAAAATATAACAATTTTATACCTGTATAAATTCACACTTGCCGAAAAAAATTTTGCGATTTTTTGCGTGTTTAGGAAATTTTACGAGAAATCTAAATATGGCAACAAATATGCAATTCATAAATTTTTAAGCTTTCAAAATTCAATTAAATTTTAAATTGTTATATTTTTTAATCAGTGAAATATTTTTTTTTATAGGATAAGGATGGCAAACGAGCACACAGTCCACCTGATGGTAAGTGGTTGCTGCGGCCCATAGACATACATCTATCCTCTGTTACAAATCAAAATAAAGATGCGTTGTCACCCGTGAGGACTAAGATGGAATGCCTCATTTCCAGTAAAAAGGGCCTCCGGCCACCTGGACTCACCAAGCGAAACGCAGAGGTAAATCTCTACTTCACGCTGGTATTCTGTGAGGACGTGGTACCACCCCGGTTCGAGCCGGCCCATCCGTGCGACAGCAAAAGCTGCCGCGTGGCTCTACCACTGTAAAAAAATAAAAAAATACTATATTTAATTAAATGTGTTTATTACAAATATCTTTTTAAAAGTTAAATAATATAAACATACAGAGTATTTTACAGTACAAAACATATTTTTAAAAGTATTTATACATGAGTAAATATAAAAACAATTTGTGAATATGTACTAGCAAACTTAATGTAATAAAAGTTCAAAAAAAAGTTATCTTACATTAAATATCAATTATTATTCACTTTATTTATTAGAAATAGGTAATGGACTCAGTAGACAGCCTATGACGTAGTTTTGTTTTAATATAATTATTATGCCACGAAGTATATACGCTGAATAATGGCCGAGGATTAGGGTAGTTATAAAATAATAAGATGAAAGTAGACAACAAAAACAAACATTTAATGTCTTCGCTGCATATTATTATGTTATCTGAAATTATCTACCTAAAATAATACTGCGTTCAGGAAATGTTCAGGAAATTCGTTATGCGTAGTATCCTCTTAGTAGTCTGTGGATTCGTTTGAATTTAAAAACGAAAAGGGTTTCTTATCCAGAAATGTAAAATCGGTATAATATATAAAATACAGTAGATTTAGCCTTGTGTTCTCAGAAATTTTGGAAAAAAAAATGTTGGTATTTTGGTAGCAGAGACTCCAAATCGGTTGAATTAAGTACTAAAGATCAGAAGGTTCGAGACCACTGAAAAGAAAAGAAAGTATTTCTGAGGTCGGTTTTCAGAAACAATCTCAAATTTGAACTCAAACTCAACAGCCTTATTTAAGTCTAGTTCATATTCGTATTTTATATACAAATTCAAACATTTTGTTTCAAAGTTTAATTACCTATAATTATAATGTATATATATATATATACATTATAATTATAGGTAATTATAGGTATATATATATGTAGGCAGTGACGATATCCAGTTGCTTTAGAAATCTTGGGATTTTTGATCAAAAAAGCCAGTCCTCTCTTGATGTTAACCTAACACTACCCAAAGAATTCTGAAGAGACCGAAACAGCTGAAAATCTGAGGGTACAACGTCTGACTATATGGTGAATGCAAATACTTCCTAACTAAATTCTCTTAATTTTTGCTGAGTGGCCAAAGATGTGTGTGGTCTGGCGTTATCATGATGAGAGACCTCTCCTTTTCTGTTGATCCATTTCGGCCGTTTGTTCTCAATTTCTTGCTCGAGTCTCATTAGTTGTTGGTAGTAGAGATCCGAATCGATTGTTTTGCCTGGCGGTAAAAGCTTATAATATACGATACCCTTCTAATCCCACCATACTCACAGCATCACCTAATTGCGTCTTAATCCGAGTTTCGCTACAGTCAGTGGAGTTTGACTACCCTTTGACAATGATCTTTTACACATGTTCTTGTCGTAGGTGATTCACTTTTCATCACCAGTGATCAATCTTTTCAAAAATGGTTCGGTTTCATTACTTTTCAATAGAAAATCGCAAATGAGTACACGATTCATTAAGTTTCTTTCAGTGAGCTCGTTGGTATACAAATATCGAGCTTTTCTGTATGGCCAGACTTTTTGAAATGGGTCAAAACAGTTTTGTGGTCAATTCTCAATTCCTCGGCTATATTGTAATTACTAATATGCCAATCTTGCATTACCTTTAAAAAATGGCATCGACTTTATCCGTATGATAAGCTGCATCTTTGACATCAAAACTCCCGGACTGAAAACGCTTGAACTAGCTTGCTACATATTTATTTATCTATGGCTTGAACCAACTTTGTGCTACTTTTACTGAATTTGGTGAATAAATGTCATAATTTTCGTGCCTTGAGTCGCATTTTTCCTTTTTTGTAATATAACATCAGAATGTATTGAATTTCTTCATTAGATTCACTCATTTTGTCGGGCAGAAAACAACTGAAAAATGGCGGGAAAGTGATTTTTACTTTTTATTTATCTTACTTACTTATAAGACATTAAGAAGTCCTATATGTATTGATATTAAAACCAGCCAAATACAAACAGTACAACTAAAGAGATTTTTCTTCAATTTTATACAAACATAATACGGAGAAACTTTTTCCCCGACCTTTGTTTTTACTTCATAAATGTTGATATTGTAGAGATTTAGTTTAAGCACACGGCACAGATTTTTTTATTGATATTTAGGGTTCCGTACCTCAAAAGGAAAAAACGGAACCCTTATAGGAACACTTTGTTGTCCGTCTGTCTGTCTGTCTGTCAAGACCCTTTTTCCCAGGAACGCGTGGAGGTATCAAGCTGAAATTCATATCAAATACTCACTACTGTCCCTTGGAGCTGTGAAAAAATCAAACTTCTAAGCCAACGAAATCAAAAGATACAGCCGTTTATGCCGCAAATTTTCGACTTTCGCAAGGGAATCAAAACCTACAGGGTACTTCCCGTGAACTCAGAATCTTAAAATTTGGTACGAAGCAACGTATTATAGCACAGATAAAGGAAAAAATTGCGAAAAGCATACATTTTTAGTTACATCATAATAAAAAACCTTTGTACCTATGGATTTGTTCGGAATCCTCGGTGCGCGAGTCCGACTCACACTTGGCCGGTATGTTTTTACTGTGTTCCCGCATCCAGCATGATGAATGAAAAAATGAGACTTTTAATAAAAAGTAAAAACCATCTTCAATTAAAATGCTAATACATAGTGTATAGAAGTATTAAAGCCCCGACTTCCGAAGTTATTACGCAGAATGGAAGTCAGCTTTTACTTTTTATTAAAAGTACAATATTTTCACCAATTTGAGTGGACTAGAAATATTAAAAGCTCGAATGTCGTCTAAATAGTTACATTAAAAACTTCACCTGTATTATCCACCTTTTTGGGGTGAATTTTTTTCTCCAAATTTATTGGACTAAATTTTCATGATTTGTGAGCATCTGAAAACGCTTGTTGTAATTAACAAGCCACATTAAATATATATATATTTTTTTAAAATAAATTATGCTTTTGAGAACTACAAAACAACCATAATCGTTTCCCACCGCTTATCGCCATAATATTTTAACACACAAAACACGATATATGTACTAATGGGATAGATTGTAATCCATTTGGAATAGCGGAAGTTACCCATTACGATAGATGAGCGAGGACGGTCCTCGCCAAGTACATTTGTAAATGTACTTATCTTGTGAGGATACCAAAACACGAAACAGTAAATGTTTTAAAGTTAAAATGCGAATAATGGTATTATTGTTCATTTTGTATGTTTCTTTTTGTATACTTAGTATATAAAATTTCTTAAAATAACTTGTTAATTAAAGGATTCATTATAGTTTTAGTTGGATAACATGCAATGAAGATATCGTTGTACTTATTCTAGCCAGAGGTGGTTCCAAAGGAATACCGTTGAAGAATCTGCAGACAGTAGGTGGTTTAAGTTTGGTTGCTCGATCCATTTTAACTGCAAAAAAAGCTGGATTACTGAATATTACTGTTTCCACGGATCATCCACTAATAGCGTTAGAAGCTCTGAAATGTAAGTGTAATATTTGCTATTTATGATTTTCAAGTTATTGGCATTGTTCAAATGTTAAAAAAAAATCTTTGTTAGATGGTGCATCTGTATTTCGTCGCAGTTCTATAACAGCTTCTCATTTTGCGCCTTCTATTTGGGGTGTAGAAGAATTTGCTCATTCTATGCCACTCGCTAAAATTATAGTTTTATTACAAGCTACTTCGCCATTTCTTCAATACTCAGACATACGTGAGGCCTTAAGGAAACTTCAGCATCCGAGACCTTACGATTGTGTGTTTTCAGTTATAAGGTAAGATGCCCATTTTATTTTATTTTTGTTACACTATTCTAATAAGTTATAAAAGTTGTCATGATTTTTGAGTTTAGGCCAATTTTAATGGCAGCTAATTCGGGTAGATTCATTTTGTAACCAATTATCCGATTATGTAATACTACTACTGCCACTGCCACTGTATGATAGCGGCGTATATTAATCCATATCATGCCGTGAATGTCATAAGAAACCACTATTGAATATTATGCTAAAGAGATCTTAGGGCTTCCTACAGATAGCGCAATAATCATCTCGTTTACACTATGCAAAAAATACCCAGACCAGCGACGGCGACAGCGACGATCGTCATTCCGCCTGCCAAGGGCGAAGGTTATGGCAATACCTCTCTATAATGAGAGCATCCACGACTTTTTCTGCCACCAGGGCGGCACCACTTAAAAGTGAGGTACAATATTTGACAGATATCATAGCGGGGAAGTTAATTTGTTCGGAAAATGTAAAAGTCAATGTTTCTTTCTGTGGTATTAGCGATATTTTATATTAATAACATTAAAAATAAATAAATCAAACCATAGATATTCATAAAGGAAGAAAAATTAAAAAAAAAGTTATAAATGTGCAAAAAATTAAACAGCAAACCACAGAGGCATTTTTTTGTTTATTAATATAATACTTTTGAAACTGATAAACTTTTATTAAAAACTAACTTCTCAATTAAATGACATCGTAACAAAAAACTTTAACTCAGTGTCAATACGACTTAGGGACCTTCAAGAAAAGAGCGTACTCCTTTTTAAAAGGCTGGCAACGCATCTGCAATTCCCTCCCTGGTGTTGCAGTTGTTCATGAGCGGCGGTAGTCACTTACCATCAGGTAAGCCGCATGCTCGTTTGCCCCCTCTCCTATAAAAAAAAAAACTAGCAACATCTGGTGAGCAGAAAATTATTGGCCCTCATCGAAGAAACCTATGTCCAACAGTGGCTTTTTATGGACTGGTGATGATAATGTTGATGATGATGTATTTGGAACTCCTACGGTACTTACAGCAATCGCTAACAACTGAATCATTAGCGAACCATCCGAGCAACAGAAAAAAGAAGTCGTAACTGCTGCCCATGTCCTGTTTCATTTCGCTTTGTCGCTTCTTACGAAACCCACGAAATGTTGAGTATTAGATTCTCTTAAGCTGCCGTTACACGGTAGCGTTTACAACATTATATAAGTATGAATAATTTATTATATTATATGACTAGCTGTTACCCGGCAGAATTATCGGAATTAGCGAAATTGCGGAAATATCGTTTTCAAACTGGAAGGATTATATTGTTTAATTGCGAATGATAATAGTAATAAATACATTGAAGTTAAATGATATATAACTTAACTCAAATAAATTTGTCGGTACGATACGCGCGCTACCTACTATAAGTTATTTGTACTATGTCTTATAACCTTCGTGCAAGTGCAAGCAATCAGTTGATAAAGTTTTAGCGCAATCTGATGAACGGTATGGCAGCGCATAAAATACGAACAAATAAAAATTAATTTTTATATATTAGATTACTGGTTGTCGCCAAAATAAGAGGCAAATATTGTAAATTTTAGGAGTTATAAACTTCGTTGGAAATTCATGAATGGGAGCCTAATTCCAATAAATTTTAATTACGACAGCAGACCTCGCAGACAAGATTGGAATGGTGAATTAATAGAAACTGGAGCCTTTTATATATCACGAGTGGAAATAATAAAACAAGGATTGTTGCAAAATAAAAAGTAAGTAGAAGGTAAAAATAGCTTGTATTAATTCTAATTAAATTAAAAAAAAAGATAATGAATTATTATCTTTTTTTATAGGATAGGATGACAAACGAGCACACAGTCTACCTGATGGTAACTGGTTGCTATGACCCATAGACATCTACATCTATCCTCAATAAAGAATCAAAATGCGAATGCGTTGTCACTCGTGAGGACTAAGATGGGATGGCTCTTTTCCAGTAAAAAGGTCTCCTGTTCTCTATTCACCATACGAAATACAGCAGTGTTAAGCTGCTATTTTACGCTGGTATTCTGTGAGAGCGTGTTCCTTACCCGGTCGAGCCGACCCATTCGTGCTACAACTATACTACCAATATAGCTGCAGCATGGTTCTACTATGTATAAATCTAATCTAGTTTTCATACTTTCTATCTTTTACATTGGATTTATTAAGAATGGGTTTATTCAACATGTTAGAACAAGGAATACTATTCTCTGACGGGAGTAGTATTTAGATGTTTCATTACCATTATTCTGACTGCCTCGTTAGTCTTGAGGTGGTAAACGCGACTGCTGATCATGAGGCACTGGGCTTGAATCCCGGGTAGTGTTAAAAAAATCACTTATTGAGTATTTCTGTCAAGAAATTAACAGTAGTAGACCGCAGTTAGGAAGTTGGCTGTGTCTCACACGCGTGCCTCGAAAAGCACGTAAAGCCGTTGGTCCTACGCCTGAACTGCGACTGCGATCGTGTCGGTTTGCCGTCCCATCCGACTATAAAAATGAGAGTAAGGGAACAGAAAGTGCGAATATGGTTGCGCATATATGCAGGCGCTATAATCCTATCGTGTGCAGATGGCTAGTCTCCGATGAGATATGGGGCCGCCTTGTCGGAAGTTTTAACCAAAATGTCAACAAAATAACAAATTTCTATGAGTTTTGGCCGGAACTTGACCGTTACATTTCTGATCTTTCGCAATCGTATAAATAATAGTTATTAATACAAATGCGAAAGATTAACATTAATGGAAAATTATATTAGAAAAGCGAGATAGTATATGTATTGACTCTCTATGTATAATTGTAGATTCCTTTTATGCATACATATGTATTGTATGTTATTATTCTGAGGCCGTTTTTTCAATCTTCAGTTAAAGTTTATTCATAATTGTACACCAATTGAAAATTACAGTTTTATGCATAAGTATAATATTTCAATTGTTAGGTTCTTATATTAGGTCAGGATATAATTTTATCAATGATTAACTTTTACCTCACGTTTAAAAACTGGCCCTTAATACAACTGTCCTAACTTGTTGTGCCAGCCCAAAGAGAGCTACTCAAAGATATATTGTTGTTACAAATCGCCAAATATAGCAGGTTTTTTTTATAGAATAAGGATGACAAATGAGCACACAGTCCACCTGATGGTAATTGGATGCTGTGGCCTAAAGATATCTACATTTATTCTCGATTTAGTATTAAAATGCGGATGTGTTATCACCCCTGAAGACTAAAATGGAATGCCTCTTTTCTAGTAAAAAGGGGCTCCGGTTCTCTAATCTTACCATGCTTGTTTAAGCTGATATTCTGTGAGAGCTTGGTCCTACTCCGGTCGAGCCAAACCATTCATACTACAACCATAACATAACTGAAGCATAGCTCTACTACGTTTAAATGGTAAAGCCGCCTCCACATTCTTGGTTGCCACAAACACCAAGGATCATCAAACACGTGCCAAACACCGACCACAATCACCCAACACAAACACGGCATCCACAGACTTGGCGAACGTGCTAGTATTTTGCGAATGGGCAAACATGGCGGACGACGAGCTTATGGCAGCAATTACTTTCGGGTTGACCTATTTTTATTTAAAAAAGGCAAAATGAAATTAAACAAAAAGAATATATAATATACCAGTACCTAAATACACAATGCCACAGCGTAGGGTATAATAATAATAACCACTAGTAACTTCGTCTGCCACTCGCGCCTACTAAACACGTTCACGTTTGTTGATTGGTGTTTATTGTTTGCTGTTCGGTGTTTGCCGTTGTTTGCCTAGCATGTGGAGGCGGCTTAAGGTAGGTAAATATCTTTGACTATGCAGCCTAACCTGATTTGTATTGGGTTCACGTATCTCTTCACAGCTTGGCTTGGGGAATATTGATGACAGCATAACCCAGTGCACAGTTGATGGATGACAAGGCGAAAAGTAATCTAAGATTTGTATCACCCTCAAAGCAGTTGTTACATCGTATCTACTTATAGTTTACTTCGCACAAATTTTATATAACAAAATCTACTACAAGCCAGTAAATAAGCGATAAAACAGGAGCAGCAATACTTCTTGCCGCCATAACTCTCAGTCCAGTCCCAACCCAGCAACCAAAGAATATATAAAATCCATAGACGTATAAAAATAGAACCACTACATAGAAATGTCGTTTTATAGTGTAAAATGTTGATATTATTACCTACTGCATGGCTTTGACATCTTATACACGGTCCGTCTTACTGTACGCTCCATTTCGGTTTATATCCCTTAAATTGTCACCCCTAGATCCGTTGGGTATTTTACGTTCAAATCTCGGTTTTGGGTTGGAATTGGGATAGAAAAGAAACTTATAACTCAATTTTTTTATGTCCTATAAAAGGGATATTGCCCATTATAAGTGCAATCATGGTATCCAAAGACACGTCACATAGAACGGACATTGCCAATAATGTGTTTACAAACATAAGTGACAATTATCATAACCGAACATAATAAGTTATAGTTAGAAACCATCTAAAATCAGCCTTTAAAAGAGTCACACTCAGAATTATTATAAAACTTTTAAAAAAATCAATAAAAATTAAATTATGGCTATAAAGGGAACAATTTAGTTATGCAACCACAAGACCATAGGGTTGTTAGGGTTTGTACCTAGACTGCATAAGCATTAGGCAGTATCCAGTAACTGTAGAGTCAGCGCTTTTGGTTGCATGAGATATCAGGCAGAGCTCATGGGAGCGGCCACTTCGTTTTGACATCGACTTCTGTCAAGACGTATTAATTAAGTAATTAGAATTATAATTATTGTAATTAGAAATAAATAGATTTTAATTAGTTTTTAAAAAATCATTTTACGTTCCCGTAAACTTGACTGGCGCAGCCGGTAGGATCGTCATACTTCGGTAGTGTTGCGTCCTTCGCGAATTCGATATAAAACTCTGTCGGAATCGGAGGTCCGCGGCGCGAAGAAGAAATCGAGGCGATCCTCGAACCGAATCAAATTCGTCAAGGAAGCGGAACTGATCCTGGACCATGAGAGCAGTTGGTGGCTGGTGAGTAGAACTTTTCACCATCCTTTCCACTACCTCGGCGTTCTGTTATCTTGAGATCGAACTTCTCTCATTTTAACGTATTCTGGTTAAATAGTTAAAAAAAATTGTTATATAATTTAAGTTTTACCTATTTTAATTAGTACCATATACAAGAAATCATAATTTTGCAAAGAAATATTTTTATTAATCATATACATTTTATTCCTTAATATTTTGTGTGACATTTAGTTAGATTTATTTTATATTCTTTTTATATTGTTTGTATGTAAAAAAAAATACATAACTATGGAGAGTATTACACTCATCCCTGGTGAAGTGATTAAAATCATTCCTTTGTTTGATGGTGACAAACGCCACTTAAATCTATTTTTAAGAATGTGTGAATATGTTTTAACTAAATTTAATGGCTCAACGCAACAGAATTTGTACGTGATGAATACAATAACAAGCCGCCTTATCGGTAATGCAGCTGCATTAGTCGGTGAGCGCGATGATATTACAACGTGGGATGAGTTTAAGCAGTTATTAATTCAGCATTTTGGAGATTCACGAAGTGAAGAGTGTTTAAATATCGAACTTGAGACCTTAAGAATTAAACCCGGAGAAAGTTATTTAGATTTTTGTTGTCGAATTTAATCTATGAGATCAATTTTAATGTGTAAAGTGAACCGGTTGTCGGACTCAAATATGCGCAATAGTAAAAAGGCTATCTATGAAAATACGTCATTAAACGTTTTCCTGTATATTTTACCGGAACATTTAGTTAGAGTAGTGCGTCTCAAAGCTCCAAATTCATTAGAGGATGCGCTCTGTACTGTATTAGAAGAAGTTAACTTCCATAGTCAGTACCAAATGAGAAACAAAATGTCTGGATCCAATCTCACATCTTATTCGCAATCGCATAACAATTCGCCATCATTTAAATTCGGTAATAATAACACTCTACCTCAACAGTCTTATAGTTTTAAGCCTATGCAATTGAACCAACCACCTAGATATAATTTTGCCATTCCACCGAATAAGCAGGTACAGACGCCGCTACCGACTCAAGGTCAGCAGCGACAATTTAACAGTTTAGGAAATTATTATCGACCACCACAACCTAATAACAATCAAATGCAATTCGGATACCGTCCACCCCAATTTGGCTATAGACCTGTAGGCCTTCAGCCTTTACCTTCAATGAGTCCTCAACAGTTCGGTATGCAGCAGCGATATAACAACGATAGTAATATATCTCAACATAACCAACCGCGAATTAACACAGATGTGTCGATGCTCGCAGCACCTGTAGCACGACCGCAGCAAGGTTTTAGGTTAAACGAATTAGAGTTAAATGAAAATTATTATAATGATGACATGTATTGCTACGAAAACGCAAATTATTTCGATCAATATCCTAACGACGATCCTTACTATAACCCCGAATATCAATCAGAAAAGACTGTAAACCCGGAAACTGAAACCAAACCGGCTGATACAAATATTAAGACGACGGAAAATATTGAAAATTTTCACATAACCGCTTCAAGCAACGCTGACGCACTATCCCGTAACAAAATGAACGCATTAGGTTCTGACGATGACACAGATTCGTTGCAAGTGAACGTAAACGATAAACACAAAAACCGTGAAACCATAGAACTAAATAATGACACAAATTTAAAATTACCTTATATATA